TTCTGTTCACTTATTTTTACACAGAGAAGAAGGGAGGAAGAAAGAAAGAGAAACATCAATTGATTGCCTCTCCAATGCTTGACCAGGGACCAGTCCTACAACAACACAGGCATGTACCCTGCTGGGGAATTGAACCCATGACATTTCCCTTTGTGGAATGACACCGAAACAACTGAGCCACACTAGTCAAGGCAATCTTTATATTTTAAATAACTGTATCAGAAGTGTTTTGCCTCTGGTTTTTATCTATATGTTGAGAGTTTTGAATGCAGTTAATTTTATTATTTTTTCTTTCTAAAAATATTTATTTATGTATGTATTTATTTATTTATAGATACAAAGGAAGGGAGGGTGAAGGAGAGGGAGAGAAATAGTGTGTGGTTACCCCTAACACATCCCCCACCTGAATGAGAATTGAACTGGCAACCCTTTGGTTCACAGGCTAGTGCTCAGTTCACTGAGCCACATCAGCCAGGGCAGAAAATTCCTTTTTTTGTATTTTATTTATTTATATATTCATTTATTTACTGGAAATTAAGAACAAACTGACAATAACCAGAGGGGAGCTGGGAGGAGATAAGGGGGCAATGGGGGAAGGGTTTTCAGGAACATCTATAAAGGGCACATGGGCAAAACCAAAGTGGGGTAAGATCAAGGGTGGGAAGTGGGCATGGGTGGGGTAGGGGAGGTAGAGGGGGAATGGAGACAACTGTAACTGAATGACAGTGGAAAATGTGAAAAAATTAAAATAGAGATAAAACCTATAAACATCAATAAAATATACTTAAAATAAGTGCAATTTGTTTTATATCTGTGAAATATGTCATTAGTATTCTAACAGGGATTGCACTGAATCTAAAAATTGCTTTGCATAGTATGGGTATTTTGACGATGCTAATTATTCTAATCCATGAACATGGTATATGCTTCCATTTATTTATGTCTTCCCTAATTTCTTTTTCAGTGTTGTATAGTTTTTTTGAGTACAGATCTTTCACCTCCTTGGTTAGGTTTATTTCTAGGTACTTTATTTTTATTGTTCCGACAAAATGGGATTTTTTTCTAATTCCTGTTTTTTATATTTCAGTGTGGGTATACAGAAATGCCTTCTATTTCTGAATATTGACTTTGTATCCCTTTGTTTTGCCAAATTACTTATTAGGTAGAATAGTTTTTGGTGGAATCTATGGGGTTTTCTATGTACACTATTATGTCATCTGCAAACAATGACAGTTTTACTTCTTCCTTTCCAATTTAGATGCCTTTTTTTTTCTTTTTTCTTGTCTGATCACTGTGGCTAGAACTTCCATTACTATGTTGAATACAAGTGGTGAAAGAGTACACCTTTGTCTTGTTCCTGATCGTAGTGGGAAAGCTTTTCATTTTTGTCCATTGAGTATGATATTGGCTGTAGGTTTCTCACATATGGCCTTTAGTATATAGAAGTATGTTCCCTGTACTGCCACTTTGCTGAGTCACTTTATCAGAAATACATTCTATTCCTTATTGAGTGCTTTTTCTGCATGTAGTAGTATGATCATGTGATTTTTGTCTTGTTTTGTTTATATGATGTATTATGTTTATTGATTTATGAATATTGTACTATCTTGCATTCCTGGGATGAATCAGAATACCTGATGTCAAACTATATTATAGGTCCACTGTAATCAAAACAGTCTGGTACTGGCATGAGGACAAACACATTGATTAATGGAACAAATTAGAGAGCCCAGAAATAAACCCATGTCTCTATGGTCAATTAATATATGACAAAGGAAGCAGAAGCATAAAATCGAGTGAAAATAGCCTCTTCAACAAATGATATTGGGATATCTGAACAGCTACATGCAAAATAATGAAACCTGACCACCAACTTACACCATACACAAAAATAAAATCAAGCTATTTTTGCCTTTTTTGGACCTGATTGCACATTTTTCCATTAAAATTCATTATCAAAAAATCAAAATGGATAAAAGACTTAAGTATAAGTCATGTACCATAAAAGTCCTATAGGGGAACGTAAGCAGGAAAACTTCAGATATTACACACTGAAATATTTTCCCTGATATGTCCCCTAGAGCAAGGGATATAAGGGAAAGACTAAAAAGATGGGACTACATCAAGTTAAAATGCTTCTGCACAGCTAAAGAAAATAGAAAAATGAAAAGGGAACCAACTATATGGGAAAATATATTTGTCAATGATACCTTGGAAAACTGATCTCCAAAATATGTAAAGAACTTATATAACTCAACACCAGAAAGGCAAACAATCCATTTAAAAAATGGGCAAAAGATATGAACAAACACTTCTCCAAGGAGGAGGTAGAAAGGGCTCAGAGACATATGAAAGAATGCTCAACATCACTAGCCATCAGAAAGATGCAAATTAAAACCACAATGAGATGCAACCTCACACAGGTGAGAATGACCATCATCAACAAATCAACAAACAAGTGGAGATTGTGGAGAAAGGGGAACCCAAGTGCACTGTTGGTGGGAATGCAGACAGGGGCAGCCACTGTGGAAAACAGTGTAGAATTTCCTCAAAAAATAAAAAAGAACTGTGTTTTGATCCAGTGATACTATTACTGAGATAATACACTAAGAAACCTAAAACACCATTTCAAAAGAAATTATGCACCCCAATATTCACAGTAGTGCTATTTATAATAGTGACCTGCTGGAAACAGCCTAAGTGCCCATCAGTAAATGAGTAGATTAAAACACTGTGGTACATTTACACAATGGAATACTCTGCAGCAGAATGGAAGAAGGGAATCCTGTTTTTACGAGAGCATAGATGGAACCGGAGAGCTTTATGGGAAGTAAAATAAGCCAGGCAGTGAAAACAAATACTCTATGATCTCACCTAATCAACAAACAAATAAGTGAGCAAAATAGAACCTGGAACATGGAGATAAAGTACAAAGTGACAGTGACCAGAGGTGGCCGGGAAAGGCCTTAACATGGAAAGAAGTAGAAAGGTCAAATCAAGGAACATGTATAAAGGACCCATTGTCAAGGACAATGGGTGGGAGGACTCAATGTGGAACAGGAGGGCTGGGCAGGCAGGGGAAAATAAAGGAAGACAAATGGGGACAACTTTAACTGAACAACAATAAAAAATACAATATCTTTAAAAAATTTTTTTAATGAATATGATTTTGGACACTAATGAAATTGCCTTAGAAAATGCCACAATGATATTTTGAGGAAACTCATTTTGAAGAGCGACTCTTTAAAAACTTGTTATTTGGCTACAGTTGACATTCACTATTGTTTTGGATGTTTACATACTTTGAGGGTGACCAGGCCGGTGGGTCTGGGTTCCATCTGACATCCCGCATGGTTATTAGAATATTATTGATGATATTCTCTATGTTGTACTTTGCATTTTGACTGGTTTTATAAGTTTAGAAAACAAATTGAGATAAAAATTTTAAATGCACAAGCTTTTAAGCTATTGTTCATTCTCATACATAGGTAACCATTTTTCACCACTCTTTATTGAAAAAGAATTAGATGTTTGTCAATGAACTCACTTGCCTTTTTTAATCAATTTTTATTTTTGGTTTTTGATTTAATTTATTTTTTTATTTGAGAGAGTAAAAGAGAGAGAGTGAGAGAGAATCAATATATTGTTCCGCTTTATTTACCCCTTTGGTGGTTGCTTTTGTGATGTGCCTTGATGGGAGATATACCTGGCTCTCTACACATGCTTGATAGATGGAAAAAATGTGCACACTGTAGAACAACAATGGTCCAGTAAACAAAAGGGCAAAGGGGATTTGAGAACGGATTTTAAAGTTAAGAGCACTCCCTACACAAACACAGATATGTCACACAGCAGAGTGTGGAAGCTATAGAGACTTGAGGTTTCTGAATAATTTTTAAAAATCATTGGTTGTCGATTAAACTATGCACACACAAGGGGAATCTCTAGTAAACCAGGCTACAAGTAAAATAAATGAGAATTTTAAATAATGAGTAAGCACACTTCAAAAGATAACATTCTACTGTAACGTTTTTACCAAACTTACAAAAATAATTTTAAAATGATGCAAAGAAACTGCAAAATATCTTTCATAATCAAGAGGAAAGTCAGTCAATAGATCTAACTTACTGAGACAAGATTTGGGATTTATTATCAAAACAACTTATAGTGATTATTATAAATATATATTTCCATGAAAATCATTTAAACAAGTACATTCAAGCAACCATATGAAAATATGGTGGCACTGACAGAAAAATTAGAGAAATAAAAACTGCATGAATAAATCAAAAATTCTTAGTTGAAAATGCATTACCTACATTAAAAATTCAATATATTTACATAAATTTTGAGATGCAGAAGAAGGAATTAATGAAATAAAGATGGAGTAATAAAAATGATTAATTCCTGAGGGTAGAAACAAAGGGAGAGAATCAAAGAACAATAAAAAATACATAACAAATGATTCTGATTACATAAAGTTCAAAATTAAGCAAAGACAATTTGTGATATAAAATCTCAGAAAGTGGTTGGGTGAGGAGAGAGAAGAAGCTATGAGAGACTGCACAGGAGCGGGCTGGCAACATCTACTTCATGATCTCATTTGTAATTACATAGGTTTTTTCATTTGCAATATGCACAAACATGGTATTTTTAGTTTCCATAATGAAGGTAACATTAAATTACAAATTTACTTTAGGAAAAAGAGGATTTATGGAAGCACAGTGGTCTAGGGAAATTAAGACTTGGAAATATCAAATGCACATTAATGGCATAAAATATCAATAAAATATTTTACTATTTATCATGTTTCATTTTTTTATTTTTCCACATTTTTATTGTTGGTCAATAAAATATTTTAGAGTCAGACAATATTAACATATTTAAAACAAGCTATAAATTCAAACAAATATGAATGAATTCTATTAAAAATATAATATAAAATACTCTTTTAAATAAAATGTTGGGAACATTAAAAATCTTACCATTTCTTCTTTATCATCTATATAGAGCAGGTTAGATAGAGCTCTTAGAAGCACAGGCCATCAAACTCTCATTCCATGTTTTTTTTTCAGTGCTGATGTAATAGCAGTTGTTGGAATATGTAAACCACCCTGGTGGACATTGACCACAATGATATGCTAAACAAAGATTATGCATTGTTATCCAAGAACAATATGAATTTTAAAATGAAAATCAATTTCAATATCTGGATGGGTATAGTCACATCTATACATAGCATGTGTATGTACCCTCACAGACTGGTACATATAAAGCAAAATGCGCTCATATACACTCACACAGACTCACACACGAGAAGGGTCAGCTTCTCATTCCCTAATTTATGTGCCCATAATAAGCAAACACACAAACAAAAATACCACTTTCTATATATCCTGAATGTCTACAAATGAAACTACATTTTTAGAAACCAAAATTATTTTTGAGCCAGTTGGCAACAATGGGAATGATTTTATTTTATTTTATTTTTTTAAGATTTTATTTATTTATCTTTAGAGGGGAAGGGAAGGAGAGAGGGAGAGAAACATCAATGTATGGTTGCCTTTCCTGTGTCCCCTGCTGGGAACTGGCCTGCAGGGAACCGGCCTGCAACCCCGGTATGTGCCCTGACTGGGAATCGAACTGCGATTGTATGGTTCGCAGGCCCGTGCTCAATCCACTGAGCTACACCAGCCAGGGCGGAATGATGATTTTAAATGAATATTTCTTCATAGTTTTGCATAAGAAAAGCACTCTTTTGTACTCATTATTTATATACATTTATTGCCCAGTATTATAATTTTTTGTTCCCATCACCAAAAATCTATGAATTTTTACTATGTTAGAGACAAAGCATGAACTGCACTAATATCAGACTGAAGAAAATAATTATATACCTTTCTGGATCCCTGTTATTGAAGAAGAATTATTCTGCACCAGTGTTATCTTAACTAGAAAAACAAGTAATTATTATTAAAAATTAATGTTGATCTAGGTAAATCATCATACATTTATTCCTTATTTTGAAATATGGTATATTGCCCAGCATTAATTCTATCTAGAATAAAAATGATTTTACCAAGAAAAATTAATGAAGCCATGAAAATTTAGGAGAAAATATTTCAAAACCCATGAGAACTAAACTTCACCAACTTGTCCAGTATTTGAATTAACCATACAAAGAATTAATTTGTATGTCTCAATAAAGTATCCTAAAGAATATTTTTAATTATAGTATGAATATATATATGCACATATGGGATATATATATATATATTTACAAATTAGTTTTTAAGATTGTTCTGTTTATACCTTGGAAAAATTCAGAATAACTATTTTGAACTTAGTCTAAAGGCACACTTTAAAATGAGAGCTCTATTATATAATATTATAAAGAGTTTAGAGGCACTGATGAACATAAAAGTAAAAAATTTCATATAATCTTACAATGATTTACTTACAGTAAATAACAGCAATTGTTACTACAGTGGACATAAGGACAAGGCATAGGGTCCCAGCAATGAGCTTCTCTGGAGGTGATGGGGATGCTGCAGGGAGGGAAATGAAAACACTGAGAAAGGGGGGATGGAGACAATTGTTTGGACAGTTTACTCATATTGAATCATATCCATAAACTTGGACCCCAAACTCATATCTACCACTGTAGTCTTCCTCTCAGAATATACCATTGTATTTTCATGCTCTGTGAGTTACTGGTCAAAGACTACAACTTACAACAATGTCTGCATAAAATTAGTCCTCAGCTTTCATCTGAGAATACCACATTCCAACTTCAAGCCCTGATCCTTAAGATGAAAAATATCTGAGCTTATCCCCTTCTCTTTCCCACACCTCTGCACTCAGCCGAACATTCTAGAACAGTTATACTGTGTCTATTGAATGTCTTACCTTTGCAGTGGTCACTCTTGTCACTCCCTCCAAGATCCTGAGAAGCATTTTGAAGATTTAATTCTGCATAGGTCAGTTCCCGCTCAGTTCCTGGAATGGAGCCTTTAGTGCCCTTAGGTTTCATGTGCTGTCTCTTTGCATCCTTAGCCAGATTCAGTTCTGCGTAGGTTACTCTTTGGTCACTCATCTCTGCAGCTGAGTGGTGGCCGAGACTGTGCTCTACAACATGTGTGCTTGTGAATAAATGACGCAGGCACTGAAGAGGTCCCTCACAGTGACACTGGGCGGGTAGGGGTGAGTATCGGGCTCATTTCCCAGTTGAAGAATCTGATGTTCTGGTTCTAAATTCCTTAGACCTTTAAACAAGTGCCTCATGGTAGACACAATTTTTAAGATGCTCTATATTTGACAATGTATTATTAGTTTGAGTTAATAAAAAGCAATAAATTAATGAGGAAAAATCACTTTCATAAATAATAACATTCTCATTAATTTAAAGTCAGATTCCACAGCAATATTTAACAACATTAGAATGCTAGTATTAAAAATAAAACGCTGTATTAGAAAGTAGAGACAATATAATAAATTTAAGATTTAATAATGATTAAAGACTAAGCGCTCTAAAGATGAGGCTCTAGTCATGTTGGCATATATAGTAATTTTCTGAACTAAATTAATTTTATTTAGTGACATATATTTATTTATTAAAGAGGATGAGTTGTTATCAAATTTTCTTTTATTGTGAATGTTTGATAAATTATTACAAATAAAAATATTTTCTATGTCACAAAAACTTAGTCACACTAAACTTATTCAAAATCTAAACAGTATGGACAAAACAACAACAATAAAATATTTTAAATAGTTATATTACACAATAAATTGGCAAATGAATTAATGACAAAGATATAAAACCATAAAATAATTAAATAATGTGTAGATCACTGTGTTCACATTTATATTAGAACACTGTTGTTTCAAACGTCCAAGAAGGTCCTACGGATGGTAAAGCCAGTGAGGTCACTTTCAGTGGTGTGAGGCATAGTAATGAATCAAATAGTGAAATTTAGTTCACTGAAGGGGCTTTGGGCCAATGAGTTCTAGAATTAATTCTGGCTTTGATATTTGCAGTGTATTTCCTTTAAAAACCTACTTAGCATCTAGCAACTTAGTTTATTAATAAAAAGTGGGAATATAAGCAAGTAGATATAGTATATGTAAAACATTTAATATTTTATTTGTTTTTATAAGCTCTCAACAAAATTTTATTTAGGCTAAATATTATTTGAACACATTTTTCATGTTATTTCTGGCTCACATCAGTTAAATGCTTAGCTTAATTCATTAGGCTGAATCTCTTTATCAGTGTGGTACATTTTATTGCAATGGCTGCTCAACTTTTTAAGTATTTTGACTGTTTTTAATTAAGCTTAAATTAGCATTGTATGGGAGTATTTCACCCTTATTTTTATTAAAGGCAACTACTTTAATTTGATCAAATTAAGTGTACAAAATATGATGTTTGACCCCAAATGGGCTGGGTTAAATATAAAATTTTATATATATATATATATTATAAAACCCCTTCTTTTTCATGATTCTTACTGAATTTTACTTTATATGTTTTGATTAACATATTCAATTATGGGTGTGTGTATGTACTTGAGTAATTTTCTACAGGCAATAATTTGAATACTTTGAGATATTCCCCAACATATCTCTTATTTTATTCTTAATACTTTACTCTCAATTATTTAAATAAAATACCAATGTTCCCTTGACTTGATTTATATTAATTATACCTCACTTGTATCATATTGAGCATTTGTAACCTCCCCCTACATAAGATGCGCCAAGAGAGAAACAGGAAAGTAGAGACACATACATACCTCCGGAAGCCAGAAAGTCCTGCATCCTTTAGTGAGAGACTAGCTCACTCTTGTAAACAAATATCTGTGGTCTTCACAGACTGCCTTGTGAAGGCTCAGAGTGAAGCATGAATGGAAAATGTAGATTTCTCATTAATGTGTCACTTAAAGTTTAAACAGGAAATTCTTACACTTGGGCTACTCTGAAGACTGTATATCTCATCATGCACCTCCAGAATGTAGGAGACTTTGGGCTGATGGTGTGTTGTCAGTTTGTCCTTTTGCAAATGCATCTAAGTCGTTTTGTTAATCTAAAGATACCAGGGGACAGAAAACCTGACCACCCATGCTGTGAATTTACCTCCATCTTCATCATAAATTCTGAAGTCTTAGGCTTGGCTAAGAATATCTTAGATGTTTAAGTTCTGCACCTATATGGGGTTACTTAATCTTGGCATTATATGCTACTTTTTTTTACACTCTCTTTATGACAGTTCCATTACAATGGAAGCAATTCTAAAGCCATAATTCCAAACACAACAGCTATTTAATGATATTAGTTACCAATAATCTGAAAAATTTCTACATTTTCACCTTTATGGTAACTGTCAAATAATCACTAATCCCAAAATTATCTTCTTAATTTCTCTGCCCTTAAAATTCCTTCATTCATTTTATTGTTATTAAATGTTATATAGATTTCCCTTGCTAAAAGTAATATCTCTATGAAGGATAAAAAATTTAACAATATTGAACCATGGTAGAGACTAAATTAATTAATAATTATATTTTTGTTTATTCATTTATCAAATTAAAACTAATTACCTATAATTTTATAGGAATATTTGTTGTAACTGACAAAAGCACAAGTCACTATGGAGCTGGAAAACAAAGGTAATTAGCCAAGTGCTGGAAGCAGCCTAAGTGCCCATCAGTAAATGAGTGGATCAAGAAAACCATGGTACTTTTACACAATGGAATACCACACAGCAGAAAGAAAAAAGGAGCTCCTACCCTTTGTAACAGCATGGATGGAACTGGAGAGCATTATGCAAGTGAAATAAACCAGGTGGTGAAAGACAAATACCATATGATCTCACCTTTAAATGGAATCTAAACAACAAAACAAACAATCAAGTGAAATATAACCAGAGACATCGAGTAACCAGAGGAGAGCCAGGAGGAGATAATGGGGGAAAGAAGGGGAAGAGTAATCAAGGAGCAGGTATAAAGGACCCTTGGACAAAGTCAAAGGGGTGTAGGATTGAGGTGTGAGGTGTGGGTGCACAAGGCAGAGGAGAGTGGAGGAGGGTAATGAAAACAACTGTACTTGAACAACAACTAAAAATTTTTAAAATAAATTATTTTTCCTTATTAAAAATGGGAAGGATGGAAAAGTAAACTTCTAAAAGACAAGTTCAATTACACATGAGCTTCAAAAGACACGAAACTTTACTGCATGATGTTTGATTTACATATATTGCAAAATGATTACCACAATAGGTTGAGCTAACATCCATCTTCTCACATAGATAAAATGAAAAGGAAATAAAAAATATACAGTGTATTCATACTTTATATTTACCCACCTACAAATCACATTATAGATATCTAAATTATTAGATAGACCAGCAATTTTCAATATTTTTCACTCATGGGACACATCAAGTAATTACTAAAATTCTGTGGCACACCAAAAATATACATTTTTTGCCAATCTGACAAAAATAGATATAATTTTTATTGATTTCTTGAAAAGTAATAATAGTAATTACCTACCTTTTTTGCTTCAATGTGACTTTTTGAAAAATCATGTGCCTATACTTATATATGACCAGGTGTGTCTGAAAAAAGTCCAGTCATTGTTAATATAATGAGAATAGTTTGCACAACATCATGTAACCTGGCTGCCAAGGAGAATGGACTGGAATGCACATTCACAAACAATGATGACTTCACTGTAGTAGTTAGTCAGTGGGGGGAAGTAGATGCTGCTGAGTGAACATGTGTACTGCGTGGCCATCACATTCAAATGACTGAACAAGTAAAGCAATGAATCTGCATCACATTTTGTGCTAAGCTCCAACTTTTCTCTACAGGAACTATTTGGATGATTCAGAAGGCTTTGAGGATGATGCTATGAGTGCAGTGCAAAAAAAAAGTGTGACATGAAGGCTTCAAAGATGGTTGAGAGTCTGTTGAAAGCGATCAGAACATCTGTAAATATTGAACATGTGTAATCAACATGTAATCAACAAAGTTCGGTGACTGACAGTGCAAGAACTGGAAACTGATCTGATCAAGGGACTCCAGAAACTACTCTGTCAGAGAATTTGACGCTGCATCTTGGCATGAAACGCACTATGGCAAATTTCCTTCTGTGGCTTCTGCTACCATAGCAGAAACAATATCGGGCTCTGGTTTCTAATGAATTGATTGAAACCACTACCAATGGACCAGATTACCTCATAACGTCATACATAACCAGAGATAAATCGTGGGTCTCTAGCTATGACCCAGAAATGAAGGCACAGTCATACCAATGGAAGTTGCCTGGTTCTCCACACTTGAAGAAGGCCCAGCAAAGTTGCAGCAAGATCAGGAAAATGTTAACCATGTTTTCTGATTGGGAAGGTGTTGTCCATCATGAATATGCACCCTCAGACCAAACAATTAATAATAAGTACTACCTCAATGTACTTTGCCAGTTCAGAGATCAATACATCCAAAACTGCCACAGCTGTGGACAACCAGTGATTAGCAGCTTCATCATGACAATGCAACCGCTCATGCATCACCAATCTTGCAGAGTTTTGGTGTAACATCAAAATCACCCAGCTCACTCAGCCCCCCTACATCACAGATTTGGCATCCTGAGATTTTTGGCTTTTCCCAAAACTAATATAACCTTTGAAAGGGAAGAGATTTCAGGTGGTCAATGAGTTTCAGGAAAATATGACAGGGCAGCTGATGGCGATTCCAACAAAGGATTTTGCAGGGTGTTTTGAAGAGTGGAATAGATGCTCAGAGAACTGTGAGGTCCCAAGGTATCTACTTTGAAGGGGACTTAGGCATCATTGTCTTTCGTACAAGTTTTCTTATATCTTATATTTTCTTCAATAAATATATCTATTTTTTTATTACATAGCTATATGATTTCTGGATGTCTGGTACCAAGAATTAAATAACTAGACACAAGGTTATAATGTAATATGACCAATAAGATTCAACTCTATTACATGACTATTGTGAATATTGTATGAATATTACATATTCATGGTTGAGGAAAGGGCATTCACACAGATGGTGTACTGTTGGCTGTTGTCATTTTTTTAATTTAACAGTCTAAGCAAGAAGAGGTCAGTGTTCCTGACTAAACAGTCAGATATTTCATGTTTTAAAAATTCTTGTGGCATACCACCTGCAAATCACTGAGATAAGCTGTTGTGGTATCATGGTGGTTTCCAACTCTCCCTTATTTTACAATCCTTATAGAATAAAATCATTGGATGGAATGCAGCAGTAACGTTACTCATATGATCACCAAAGGATTACAACCTTTGCTGCATCATGTTCATGAGATGAAAAGAAAGACACAACAACTTCTAATAACAATGTTCTTCCAAAAGTATTCAGCAAAAACCCTTTATCTATCCCTAACCACTGACATGGTCTGCTCCTGACATCCAACCACGAACACTGTTGTGACTTGATGATCTAACAGCCTTGTGAACAGTAAGCCTCCATCTGAGATATTGATACAAGGTCAACAGTAGCCTAACACCTATGTCATTCATCTCACTTCATGTTATTATGAAGGCATTTTATCATCTCACATCTTCACAAGAGAAAGGAGGGTGAATACAACACAAGCTATTTTGAGGGAGAGACCACATTCACAAAACTTTTATATATTGTATTGTTATAATTGTTCTATTTTATTAATGGTTATTATTGCTAATCTCTTAGTGTGCCTAATTTATAAGTTAAACTTTATCATAGGTATGTACATTTAGAAAAAATATAGTACACAACAGAGTTCAGTACTTTGCATGGTTTCAGGAATCTCCTGGGAGTCTTTTAATGTACACTCTGCAGACACTGAGGAAACTACTGTGATTCTTACAGCAGGGTTAGCAATAGTCATGTTGTATTTACATCCGTAGTATTTATTTGTCTTATATCAGAAGTTTGTAGTTTTTAACTACTTCCTTTAATTCCTTCTCTCCCCTATGTCCCCACTTTTTGGAAACAAGTTTGATCTCTTTTTCTATGAGCTTGTTTCATTGTTGTTTCTGTTGTTTTTTAGATTCTACACATGAGATCATACAGTATTTGATGGCTATAGCTTTATAGTATAGTTTGAAATCAGGAAATGTGACACCCCTGATTTGTTCTTTTTCATCAGATGTATTTCACTATTAAAAGCCCTTTGTGGTTTCACATACATAGGACTGTTTTTTTTTGTCTACTTCTGTAAAATATGTCATTGGAATCTTGATGGGGATTGCATTGGACCCATACAAGAAACTAGAAATGTGTTCTTTAGGGATGGTGAGAGGAACATTATACTACATTTGTATAAGCTATTGTGCCTGGTGCTTACAAACATATGTTATGTTTTCTAAACAGGATTTAGAATAGAACATGTGGCTGTGGAAATCCGCAAATACACAATTCTTGTCCAACTTGGAAGTTTTTGAAAATCTGTAATGCAGAGATAATAAATCATTAATCTGGTAATATATAACTTAATATTTTAATAAATAATTTATGTCCAGTAATATTTACATATTAAATCTGCATATTTCTTAAATTTTTTCATAAAAACATTTAAATATTTGTTCATATACTTGTTCACACATTGCTTTTTATTTCTAAGATTAACTCCTGATTTGAAAGCATGAGGGAATATAACATGTGCATTCTAAAGAAACTTACAGTTCAGAAGAGAGAGTTGTGCCAGTTGTCCACGCCCAAGAATTAGTATTATTTCTCTGGGACAGTCCAGTCCATGGGCGTATTTTCAAAATGTTCAAAAAATTCTATGAGAAAACAAATTGTATGAGAAATTAAGTGAAATTAATTTGTATTTGTGAAAACAATTAAAGTTGGCTCACAGTTAGAGGGGGAGGTGACAGCTAAGTAAACTGCACAGCCCACCAACATCTGGTGACATCAGTGAATAAGCAGTCAACCCTGTCCTGCGACCCAGGACTTGTTGGTCACCCCACCCAGCTGGCCCAGCATGTCCGACATCCAAAGACCACAGGGCCCTGTGTGAATACATAGAGGACTCTGAATCAACATGGAACACCTCAAGAATCACCTGAGTTGAGGCAACAGCTGCAGCAGAACTACCATATTCTAAACAACTGGCGAAAGAAACAGAGAAGTCTATGGGACAGTCTGTATTTCTTCCTACCACCTTCAGCGAACAACAGCATGAAAGGAAAATACAGGTTAATTCTTAGTGGCTGAATTCACAACATCACTGACTCTCCACAGGCCAGCAGCTGAGAACGGGAAAGAGCATTTAATATCACTGCCCCCCCCCAAGTGGGCAGCCTGTACCAGAGCATCTGGTGGAATTCCTGAGGAGAGCTCAAATTGAAGGAATCTTGTGTTCTGGAAAAGCTAAACTCACCCTCAAGGTCAGGTGCACAATGAGGGAATTACAGAGGACAACCTCCACCTCATTCACAAGAGAGTCTTCTCTTAAGCAACTGGAATTTGATATTATGGATATTAATAAACTTTTTGCAGGTCTGGGAATGATAATTCATGAGCAGAGAGGCACGATGGCATAGAAGCCAAAGTTGAAAACACAGGGGTGCATATGCAACAAGCTGACCAGCACCTGTCAAGGGCAGATGAATATGAGAAAGAGAACCCTGAATGGTGCTGTGAGATGCATAACACTTGAAAGAAAAATACAAATCTACAACTGCACTAGCATGGAAGAATAAAACAAAAGTCTAAACCCTTATATTTTATTTTATTTATTTATTAAAGATTCTACTTATTTAATTTTAGAGAGAGAGAAAGAGAGGGAGAAAGAAAGGGAAACATCGATTGGTTGCCTCTCCTGCTGGATCCCAGACCAATCCTGCAGCAACACAGGCACCTGCCCTGACTGGGAATCTAACCTGTGACATTTCCCTTTATGGAGCAATGTCCAACCCACTGAGCCACACCAGTCAGGGAAACCTTTGTATTTTAAATGACTGCATTATAAGCCTTTTGCCTCTGGTTTTATTTTTATGTTGAGAATTTAGGTGCAGGTTTTGTTAATATTAAACACTGAAAATGACTTTGGACACTAATAAATTGGCCTTAGAAAAAAATGCGACAATGATATTTTCAGAGAACTTATTTTGAAAAGCAACTATTTAAAAATTTGTTTTTTCTTTACCAGTCACATTCAGTATTGCTTTCCACCTGTGTATACTTTGAGAGGTGACCACCCCAATGGATCTGGGCCCCATCTGACATCATGCATATTTTTTAGAACATTGTTGATTATACTCTCCATGTTGTGCTTTGCATTGTTGCAACTGTTTTCAAAACTGGCAATTTAAACAAGAATTACTTGATAAAAGCTTCAAAATTCAAATGCATGAGCTTTTCAGCTACTTTTAGTTTTCATACATAGGTAATAATTTTTACCATTTTTCATTTAAAAAATTAGATATATGCAATTAACCCACTTCCCTTTTTAAATCAATGTTATTGTTTGTTACTTTATTTTTATTGATATGAGAGAGAGAGCAATCAGTTAGTCAGTCCACTTAGTGTGGCTTTCCTTGGGAGCTTCTTATATGTGCAGGATGGGGCATCAACCAGTACCCTGTGTATATTCCAATCAGGCTCTAACCAGCTGACCTACTCAGACTGAGCTTATATCAATGATGTTTTAACATTCTAGTCAGAATATAAAAAGAGAATTATATAGATTATAGTTTGTATTTTATAGTATTCTTATATAGCAGTTTGATAAAAGCAATGTTTTATATGGCAAACTATGAGACATCAAATAGGATCAAATAAAATATTAAGCAACTAAATTGTACACTTGCAACCTAAATAAAGATTTCAAAAATGAAGAAGCAAATATAGTTTTTTTTTCTGGGTTAGAGTGATTCAATTTACAATACAGTTTCATATATCAGACACATTAAAAAATGTAGTAGCATGATTAGGTGAGCAGCAAACACTGCAATTTTACACCTCTGAAATTTAATCAGTAAAAATAACATGAGAATTTATTAATGGAAAAAGCAGCTAGAGATTCCAGTAAAAATAGATCAAATTTGTAGTCTTCATGTCTAAGACTGTTCCCATGTCTCCCCCTGTCCCCATCTCAGTTCATGAGTAAGAAGTGTAATTCTTACTGTTTGGAGGATGCTAAAACATCACTGGAAGTCTGTTGCCACAGGGGAAGTCTGATTACTTGGGAAGTGGTGGTCAAACTGCCCACTCTTTTTTTAGGTCAAGTGCTGAATTCACTAGATTAAAAGTGAGGCAGACCATCCTTTTTCTAGTCCATTTGTGTCAAGCACAGTGCTAGCTATAAATATAACAAAAGCGTACTCAATATGAGAGCACAGTACAAGAAGTTATATTAACTCTCTACACCTACATGGTTGATGGGAAAAATTTGCACTGTGCAGAAGAAACAAAGATGATACTATAAAAAAAATAAGGCAAAGGTGATTGGAGAACTGATTTTAAAATTATGAGTACTCCCTTACACACACACACACACACACACAAAGTACATCAATCAGCAGAGGGTGGAGCCATATTGACTGAGGTATTTGAATAAATTTTTAAAAATCACTGGCTGTCCAGTGAGCTATGCATGCCCAGGGGAACCCCAGTAATTGAGTCTAAAAATAAAATAATAAGAAGAATTTTTAAAACTGAGTAAGCACACTTCAAAAGAGATGATTCCACAATTAATAGTTTACTGAAGTTACAAAAATATAAATCTAATAAGCATGTAAGAGGATTCATGTTCATTATACAATGTTATTGAAAATGTGTACTTACCATAATTTTAAAACTATGCAAAGAACTAAAAAAACCTTCCATACTCAGGGGTATAAATCAGTCATACAATATAACTTTCACTGGGACAAGATGTTGGAAATGTTTAATACTAATTATTATAAATATATGTTTATCTAAAATATTTTTTAAATTAAGTTTAAATAACTGAAAATATGATGGCAGTGACAGAACAATTAGGTACATAAAAACTGTATGAATAAATCAAATAAAATTGTGAGTTAAATGAATACTTATACTAAAAAACTCAATACACTTATATAAATATTGAGGTATAGGAGAAAGAATTGATAAAATAAAGATGGAATGAGAGAAATAATTAATACCTGAGAGTAGAGAGAAAGACAGAGAAAATTAACGGGGCCTCATAGACGTTTACAACTCTGTCAGTAAAACCAACATCAGTGTAATTATTGCTTGAGAATAAAGAGAGAGACAGAAAAAGGCCAATAAAAGACACAATATATGATCATCTTAAATTATATATTAAAATATGCAAACCCATGTTTATAAAGTCATTTATGTAGAAAAGATCATCTGCTATAAATTACGCCACATCAACTAGGTAATGATGCAGAAAAGTGTGAACTTGACCTCTACCACACAGCATCACAAAAACATAAATTCTCAAAGTATTACAGACTTAAATGTAAAAGTCCATCAATTAAAAAAAGATAAACCGTAAAGAGTAATGCAATGGATTTTCTTTGTGAACTTTGACTAAGTTGTGAAACGTCCAAAATAACTACCAACATCCAAACGAGATATTGGACTATGATAACAGTAATAAATCCTGGTCATTAAAAACACCAATATAAGAAGAAAAATGTAATTAACAGTTAAGAAAGCCATTTGCATCTTACAAATTCAAAAAAGAGTCATATGTAAGATATAACTACTTCTAAGGAGAAAAATTACAGGTAACATACAGAAGAAATGGTCAAGAGACATGAATGGGCACTTCTCATTTTCACAGTGCAGAAATTCATAATGAATGGTGCTCAGAAAGGTGTGTTCAATCAATCAGTATGAGGAAAATAGCTATTAATATCATAATGATGCTTTTATATATGATCAGAACTGATGGCATTAAAATTCCTGGCAGAACTAAATTTTGAATCATGAAACTATTGGATATAATGGGCATTTACATGACAAACTAGGAAGTGCAGGGGTAATTTACATACACATACATTTTTGACTCTGCAATTTCATTCTAATGCAAAAAGGCAATATATTTTACTTATACACATATACTATTAGAACAACTATCTGTATAAATTATTATATTTTTATAAACACATTTATAGTATATCAATTTATATATTTTGTGTGCTATTGTATAAAAATATTTTAAATATGATACATTATTTGGAAAAAGACATATGCAAGGGTTTTTATTAAGTAATTCTTCATTACAACCACATATTAAAAATATCTCTATTCTGAGCAGAATAGATTAAAGAGTGTGAGGTATATACAATATAGCAGTGAGAACAAACAAATTCAAGTATATTCAATAGTATAGATTAATTGAAAAAATACTATGAGGGAGTTAATGCAGACACATAAAATTCATAGTAAATTATTCCCATTACATAAAATTCAAAGTTAAGAAAGATAATTTGTGATATAAAATATCAGAATAGTGGTTAAGTGAGGAGAGAGGAGAAGTTATGAGATAGTTCACATGAGCAGGCTGGCAACACCTATTTCATGACCAATTTCAGTTCACAACATGCACAATCATATCTATAGTCTCCATGATGCATGGTAAAATTAAGTAGCAGTTTACTTTAGGAAAAAAAGCATTTATAGTGTTGGGAACCACTCTGCCTGGTTTCAGGAATTGTAACTACCCCCCATGACTAAGGATGCGTGAGTGACCTCCGGAATTCGGGTGACAGGAGACAAAAGCTTGTCTCTGGTAGCAAACACTGCTTTAGTTTCCTCCTGTGCCCCCAGAGCATGGTCGATGTTGTTGATTGGTAAGACTCCTCACAGCAAGGGGCAACCTAAGCCAGACTGATCATTTGGGAGGCCTTCATGGAAGGACTCAGGGGGCTGTGACGAACAAAGAGGGAGCAATGGACCCTTGCCCCCTGGCTGTGTGACATAGCCCCAGTCCCCATGTCCTCTGGGAGAAGTGCTTCCTAGCTCTAATCCACTTAAAACTGAAAATCTGATGGGGAGGGGTGCAGTTCTTCACCTTGCTAGAGTGGATGGGGGAAATCTGGCATAAGAAAGAATTCCTAAAAATCCTGTGAAACTTGCTTTGCTAAGAGTGTTTTCATTCATATGGTAAGGGTCTGAGCAGGAAATGAGTAAGTCTCCCAAAGTTTCTGCAAACCCCTTTCCTGAAAGACACAGGCTAAGCCCTCAGACTAAGATTAAGTCAGACTAAGCCCTCAGATTTCTTTGAAATGTTATCTACTGTTTGGCCCTTGTCACCCTGTATCCCTGTGTACTACAACCCAATAAAAGCCATAGGAAACCCAATAAAACCCAATAAAAGCTGGAGGAAGGGGCTCCTGGCCTTTTTCCTCTGAGAAACTGGCCACCTCTTCTCCCCAAGCAGATCATGTCTTAGTAGTGTTTACTTTCATCCATGGTGGATGGGGGGACTTGAGGGCAAAATTGCCCCCACATTATAAAAGCATGACTGTCTATGAAAATCAAGAACTGCAAATTATCAAATGCACAATAATGGCATAACATATAAATGAAATATTATAGTCAAACAATAAAATACTAACAATCTTTACAATAAATTACAGATTTGTATAAAATATGACTGAATTCTATAGAAATATAAAATAAAATACTCTTTTAAATAAAATGTTGGGAACATTAAAAACCTTACCATTTCTTCTTCATTCTCTATATAGAGCAGGCTAGAGCTCTTAGCAGCACAGGCCATGAAACTGTCATTCCATGTCTTTTTTTCAGTGCTGATGTAATAGCAGTTGTTGGAATATATTAACCACTCTGGTGGACATCGACCACAATTATATGCTGAGGAAACATTATGTATTGTAATTCAAGAACAAGTTAAATTTTAAAATGAAAATTAATTTCAGTATTTGCAGAGGCATAGACAAATTAGTGCACAATATAAGTATATACCCTCACAGACTGGCATATATAAAGCACAATACACTCACACACACTCACAGAGAAGGGTCAGCCCCTCACTCCCTAATTTATGTGTCCATATTAAGCAAACACAAAACAAAAATATCCATCTTGTATATGTTCTAAAAGTCAATGAAAGGAACCACCTTTTTAGAAACCAAAATTATCTTTCAACCAATTGGCAACAATGAACATGATGAATTTAAATGAATATTTCTTCATATTTTTGCATAAGAAATTCACTCTTCTATACTCATTATTTATGTACATTTACTGCTCAGTATCATAATTTATGTTCCCCCCAACAAAAAAAAACCTATACATTTTGATTGTGTTAGAGACAAGGCATACACTGTATTAGTATTGGAACATAGAAAATAATTAGGTACCTTTCTGGTTCCCTGTTTTCTGATTCCCTGTCTGGTTCCCTGTTAAAATAATATATAATTGATATACACAAGAAAGAAGAATTATTCTGTTCCAATATTACATTAGCTAGAAAAAATAAGTAATTATTATAAAAAATTACTGTTGATCTACATAAATCATAATACTTTTGTTTCTTACTTTGAAATATAGTATATTATCTAGGATTAAAATGAACTGGAATAAAATTGGTTTTACCAAGAAAAATTAATGAAGCTATGATAATCCGGGAGACGATATTTCAAAAGCCTTGAGAACCAAACTTCACCAATCTTACACTATTGGAATTAATCAATATGAAGAATTTATTTGTATTTCTCAATAAAGTGTCCTAAAGTATGCCTTGAATTGTAACACAAGAATATCTATGGATATATGGGATATATATGTGTATATATACATAAAAATACTTAAAAAATTTTTTTGTTTATTTATTGTTGTTCAAGTACAATTGTCTTCATGTTCTCCCCACCCCACCCATCCCCACCTTCCACCCTGGAATTCACCTTTTTTAATTTTTTTCCATGTGTCCATTATACATGTTCCTTGATGGCCCTTCCCCTCTTCTCCACCATTATCCCTCTCCCCTTACCCCTCTGGTTACTGTCAGTTTGTTCTTCAATGCAATGTTTCTGGTTATATTTTGATTGTTTGTTTTGTCAGTTAGTTCCACTTTTAGGTGAGATCATATGGTATTTGTCTTTCACATCCTGACTTATTTCACTTAGCATAATGCTCTCCAGATCCATCCATGCTGTTGTGAAAGGTACGAGTTCCTTCTATCTTTCTGCTATGTAGTATTTTGTTCTGTAAATGTACCATTGTTTTTTGATCCATTCATTTACTGGTGGGCATTTAGGTTGCTTTCAGCACTTGGCTATTGTAAATTGTACTGCTATGAACATTTTAGAAAATATATATGGCAATGATAACTCGAACAAAGGTTCAATTTCCAACGTTTATAGAGAACTCACATGACTCCTCTCCAAGATGACACACAACCCAATTAAAAAATGGGCAAAGGACTTAAACTACTTTTTAAAATAATGCAGATGCTCATCTGAAGATGTTCATCTTAGACAAATTCAGAATAATAATTTTGTACTTACTCTAAATACATACTTCTAAATGAGAGTTCCATTCTATAATATTATGAAGTGTTTGGAGGCACTGATGAACACAAAAGTGAAAAGTTTCATGAAATCTTACAAAAATTTACTCACAGTGTTTAAAATTTATCCACGTTACTAGAGTGCACATCAGGACAAGGCAGATGACCCCTAGGATCCCAGCAACGAGCTTCTCTGGAGGTGATGGGGATGCTGCAGGGAGGGAAATGGAAACACTGAGAAAGGGGGGATGGAGACAATTGTTTGGACAGTTTACACACTGAGAATCATATCCATACACTTGGACCCCGAACCCGTATCTACCACTATAATCTTCCTCTCAGAATATACCATTGTATTTTCACTAAATATAATGCTCTGTGAGTTACCGGTCAAAGACTACAACTTACAACAATGTCTGCATAAAATTAGTCCTCAGCTTTCATCTGAGAATACCACATTCCAACTTCAAGCCCTGATCCTTAAGATGAAAAATATCTGAGCTTACCCCCTTCTCTTTTCCACACCTCTGCACCCAGCTGAACATTCTAGAACAGTTATACTGTGTCTGTTGAATGTCTTACCTTTGCAGTGGTTACTCTTGTCACTCCCTCCAAGATCCTGAGAAGCATTTTGAAGATTTAATTCTACATAGGTCAGTTCCTGCTCAGTTCCTGGAATGGAGCCTTTAGTGCCCTTAGGTTTCATGTGCTGTCTCTTTGCATCCTTAGCCAGATTCAGTTCTGCGTAGGTTACTCTTTGGTCACTCATTGCTGCAGCTCAGTGGTGGTCGAGACTGTGCTCTACCACATGTGTGCTTACGAATAAGTGACACAGGCACTGAAGAGGTCCCTCACAGTGACACTGGGCGGGTAAGGGTGAGTATCGGGCTCATTTTCCAGTTAAGGAATCTGAAGTTCTGGTTCTAAATTCCTTACAGGTTTAAACAAGTGTCTCATGGTAGATACAATATATAAGATATTCTACATTTGACAATGTATTATTAGTTTGAGTAATAAAAAGCAAGAAATTAATGAGGAAAATCACTTTCATAAATAATAACATTCTCATTAATTTAAAGTCAGATTCCACAGCAATATTTAACAACATTAGAATGCTAGTATAAAAAATAAAATGCAATATTAGAAAAAAGAGACACAATATTCATGATAAATTTAAGTTGAATAATGATCGAAGACTGAGTGCCTTCAAGATGGGTCACTAATCATGTTGACATATATAGTAGTTTTCTGAACTAAATTTTTATTTAGTGACATGCATTTATTCATTAAAGTGGATGAGTTGTTATCAAATGATCTTTGATTTTGAATGACAAATCATAACAAACAAAAATGTTTCATGTTTAAAAAATCTCTGTCAGGCTAAACTCATTCAACAACAGTGAAATTTTAAAAGTACTTATGTTACACAGGAAATTGGCAATCGAGTTAAGGGCAAAGATATAAAACATGAAATGAGAGATAAATATGTGTAGATCCTTTATATTAGAACACTGTTGTTTCAAACTTCCAGGCAGTTCCCATGCATGTTAAAGTCAGGGCACCTTCAGTTGTGTAAGCCATAGTAATGAATCAGATACTGTAATTTAATAATTCGGTCAATGGGCTGTATGGCTGGTGAGTTCTACAATTAATTCTGGCTTTGAAATTTGCAATGTATGACCTTTACAAAGCTACTTAGTGTCTAGCAACTTAGTTTACTAGTATAAAGTGGAAATAAAAATGTAGACATAATACACATAAAACATTTAATATTTCACCTTTTTAAAGCTCTCAATAATATTTTACCTATCCTAATATAATTTGAACACATTTCTCATGTTATTTCTGATTCATACCACTTGAATGCTGTAGCTTACTTAATTCATTAGGCAAACTGTGTATCAGTGTGGTGCACTCTCTAGCAACGGTGACTCAACTTTTAAATAGTCTTTTGATCATTTATAATTAAGCTTCAGTTAGAATTTTATGAGAGCACTTCATTCTGATTTTTATTGAAAGCCAACTGCAATGATTTAATCTAATTAAGTGTATAAAATATTATGTTTGATCTCCATAATTAATATAATTTACTTTTAAAATCTTTTAAAGTCTGGGCTAAATATAAACTAATATACAATTATATCTATATTGATTATAAAATAAGAATAGCCATTCCTTTTCATAATTCTTATAAGATTTTTTACTTTAAATTGTTTTGATTAACACACTCAATTATTCTTGTGTATATACACTTGAATAATTGTCCACAAGCAAGAATTTTAGTTCAAGATGTCTTCCAACATATTTTATATTTTACTCCTGATTTTCAGTCTAAATTATTTAAATAAAATACCAATATTCTCTTTGACTTGAGTTATATTCATTGTACCTCACTTGTATCACATCTAGCATTTGTAATCTCCCCCTACAGGAAGTGGATCTAAGAAAGACAGGAGAGTAGACAAACACGTACCTTCTGGAAGCCAGAAAGTCCTGCATCCTTTGGCGGGAGACCAGCTTACTCTTGTAAACAAACAATGTCTGTGGTCTTCACAGACTGACCTGTGAAGGCTCAGAGTGAGGCATGAGTGGAAAAAGCTGATTTCTCATTGCTGTGTCACTAAACGTTTGAACAGGAAATTCTCACACTTCAGCTATTTTGAAGACTGTGTATCTCATCACACACCTGCAGAATCTAGGAGACTTTGGGCTGATAGTGTGTCATTCAGTTTGTCCTTTGGTAAATGTATCTGGAAATTGTTTTCTTAGTCTGAAAGATATCAGGAGACAAAAGACTTGACCACCTAGGCTGTAAACGTACTTCCATCTTCGTCACAGACTCTGAAATCTTTGGCCTGGTTAAGAATATCTTTTTTTTAACTTTTAAAAAAATTTCTATTTATCTTTAGAAGGGAAGAGGGAGAGGGAGAGAAATAATAATAATGTATGGTTGCCTCTCACGTGCCCCCTGCTGGGAACTGACCTGCAACCCAGGCATGTGCCCTTGACTAAGAATCGAACCTCAATCCTCTGGTTCTCAGGCCCTCGCTCAATCCACTGAGCTACACCAGCCAGGGCCTAGGCCTGGTTAAGAATATCTTGTATGTGTAAATTCTAGTCCTTGACAGGGTTATTTAATTTTGGCTTTACATATTTCTCTTCCATATATTGTCATTCCTTCTCATGGTATTTCTATTATAATGGAAACAATTTTTAAATCATAATTCAGTAAATAATAGATATGAATGATGAATGATACATGTCACTGATAGTCTGAAAAATTACTACATTTTCACCTTCATGGTAACTGTCACAATCACTAATCCCATACTTTTCTTCTCAATTTCTTGCCTTAGTCTTAAAATTTCTTCATTCATTCTATTGTTATTAACTGTTATTTAGATTTCCCTTGGTAAAGATAATATCTCTGTGAAAGATAAAACATAAACAATACTGAACTAAGATCACTATGGATGAGATTAGATTATTATGTAACTACTAATTATATTATTGTTGATTCATTCAAATCACTACTAATTGTCTATAATTTAATGGGAATATTTGTTTTAAATGACAAGAGCACAAATCTAACTATGTAGGGGAAAAACAAAGGTAATTTAATGTTTTTCCTTATTAAAAAATGGGAAGGACAGAGAAAGTAGATTTCTGAAAGACAAGTGAAATAACACGTGAGCATCAAAAGAAACAGAAATTTACGCATAATGTTTGATTTCCATATATTGCAAAATGATTATCACAACAGGTTCAGCTAATATCCATCTTCTCATAGAGTAAGAATTGAAAGAAATAAAGAATACATGGGGTATTCACAGTGTTTGTGTTACCCAGCCACTAATCACATAGTAGCTGTCTGTGACCAGCTGTCATTAGACCAGCAATTTTCAACCTTTCACCTCTGATGGCACAATTAACTAATTACTAAAACTCTGTGGCTCATCAAAAAAAGTATTTTTTGCTGGTGTGAAAAAACATAGGTATAATTTTGACTGACTTATGAAAAATAATAACAGTTTTACCTACTCTTTTTGATTCAGTGTGACTTTTTACGATATCAGGTGCCCATACTTGTATATTACAAGATCTGTCTGAAAAATGTCCAGCCATTGTTAATATAACAAGAATGGTTTGTGTGACATCGATGTAACATGGCAGCCAAGGATAGTGGACAGGAATGCACATATGTGAACGATGACAACTTCCCTATACTATTCAGTGGGGGCAGTAGACAACATTGAGTGAGCCTGTGTACTATGTGGCTGTCATATTCAAAATGACCTAGGAATTGTAGAGCAATGCATGTGCACCAAATTTTGTGATAAGCTTAAATATTCCTCCATGGAAACTACTCAGATAATTCAGGCTTTCAAGAATGATTCAATGGGTGCAGTGCAAACAATAAATTGTGACACAAATGCTTCAAAGGTGGTTGAGAATCTATTAAAAGAACACAAATCTGTTCTGGAAGACCTACAACAAGCAGAACACCTGAGAATGTTGAGTGCATCAGGTCTGCAAACGACAAAGATTGGTGACTTACAGTGCAAGAACTAGCAGCTAATCTGGGGATTTAAAAAAATACTAAGTCTTTGATTTTGATGTAGGATCTTGGCATGGGAAAATCCCTTCAGACCAGAAGGAACGTTGTGTTGCAGTTGCTAATGACTTGATTCACACTGCTACCAATGAACCAGATTCTCAAGATGGTCAAAACTGGAGATAAACTGCGGGTGTATGGCTGTGATCCAGAAATGAAGGCCCAGTGGTCACTATGGAAGTCACCTGGTGCTCCATGCCTGAAGTAGGCACAGCAAAGTTGCAGCAAGATCAAGACCACATTAACTGTATTTTTTGATTGGGAAGGTGTTGTCTATCATGAGCACACCCCTCAAGGCCAAATGGTAGCAGCTATGAGCTTCTGGTGATGGGCAGCTTCATCAGAACAATGTACCTGTTCATGCATCACATGTCATGAAGAATTCTTTGGTGAAACAAATCACCCAGGTGACTCAGCACCCCTGAAGCCCAGATTGGGCACTGCACAATTTCTGGATTTTCAAAAAACTACAATCATCTTTGAAAGAGAAGAGATTTCACCCCATCAATTAGATTCAAGAAAATAAAATGACACAGTTGATGACAAATCAAAGAGATTTTGTAGAGCACTTTAAACAGTGGAAGAGATGCTGGGAGAACTATATGAAGTCCCTAGGTACTTTGAAGGGGACTGAGACGCCATTGTCCTTTGTACAAGACTTCTTGTGTCTTGTATCTTCTTCAATAAGTGTTTCTATTTTTCATATTACATGGATGGATACTTTCTGCATTTCTGTACCAGGAATTAACCAATCAGACACAAGCTTATTATGTAATGTGATCAATAACATTCAACTCTATTAACAACTCTATTATTTATTGTTGAAAGAAGTGCATTCACACAGGATGGGTATTGTTGTGTTGGTTGTTGTCATTTTTTAATTTGACAATCTAAGGGAAAAGTGTGAATACCTGACAGTCAGGTATTGCATATTTTAAATATTCTTGCAGCACTTCTGTTCAAAATCACTGAGAAAAGCTGTTTTGGTATCATAGTGTGTGTTTTCAACTCTCTTTTATTTGATGAACCTCATGGAATAAAAACATTGGATACAATGCAGCATTAAAGTTACTCATATGATCACCTAAGAATTACAACCTTTGCAACAACACATTCATGAAATGAAAAGAAAGACACAGCAACTTCCAATGAGT